GAGAACGGGCTCGGCTTCCCGCGATCTGGAACCAGGACCCTGGGCCTCTTGGGGGCCTGAGGATACCACACAAGGGGGCCTGTCTTCAGCCTCGAGGGGCGGCACTGGGACCGGCGGAGACAGACGCCGAGTGAAGCCGAGTGGCCCCAGCACTGCTTTTGCGTTCACTGCCGCTTACTTACTAGAAGGAGCAACAGACCCGGATGGGAAGCGGAGGTTCAAGTCCACGGATGCTGGGCCTCTGGGTGACCGGGGCAGGGCTGTTCTTTTCATTGCTGCTGTTTACAGGTAGCTGTGGTGTGGCTCTGTGAGCCTGCAGCCTGAAAGGCTGCTCAGGGCTTGCGATTTCTCCTCCGGTGCACAGACTGTTGGTGGGTGAGTACTGGGAGTGTGCTACAAGCTGGGCATGGTGGTGCACACCTGTAAATTCAGTGTTAGGGAGGCTGAGTCAGGAGGATCGCCATGAGTTTGAGGTCAGCCTGGGCTACATAGTGAGTTCAAGGCCAGCCCGAACTGCATATTGAGACCCTGCCTCAACCCCCACCCCCAAAAGCGTGCTAGGATCCACCGCCTTTGTCCCTGTCTATCCAAGGCACCGCATCCTTGCCTGCCAAAGGTTCTGTGTCCTCACCTGGGCCCCTTTCCCAGCCACAGGAGCATGATCAGCGCAGACACACCTGGGGCCGGGGGCACCATCCCAGGGCCCTTCACCCCCAGGCTCTGCACCCCACACTCTTCCCCCCCTTTTCCTGCTCGTGAGCTGCTTCCTGGGTGGGTTCCCACGCCAAGGACTCAGACCTGAGGCTGTCTGAGTTTGGGGACAGTGCCGCACACACAGCTGGCGTCAGGAGGCTCCCTGCATCTGCACGTGGATGCCGGTGAGTGACGGCACAGCACGGTGGGGGGAGACTGAGTCATGCCGCTGGAGCAGTCACCGGAGCTCTGGGGGCGGGCAGAGGGACAGGCATGAAGCAGGGCTCCCTGGACCTACTTCCCCAAGAAGCTGCCCGGGCACAAACCCTGAGGCCTACGCTTCGCGCATCTGACTACGACTCTGTCTGTGAGATTTCACCAGGTTTTGTCACGCCCTTCGCCCCAGACAAAATCCTGAATTGGTGTCTTTTTCCTTTTCTTTTCAGTTTGAACCCAGGCCCTTCACACTGAGCTATATCCCCAGCCCAATTTATTATTTCTTCATTTATTTATTTGTGAGACCCTGTCAAATTTTTGAGACAGTGCCTCACCAAGTTGCCCAGGGAGAACGTGAACCTGTGATCCTCCTGCCTCAGGCTCCCACACTGCTGGAATTACGGGCATGTACCAGCACACCTCGTTTCTCATGCTTTTAAAAGATGAGTGAGGGGCTGGGGATGTAGGTTGGTGGTGGGGTGCTTGCCTAGCAGGCACAAGGCCCTGGGTTCCACCCTCAGCACACCACATGCAACAAAGAACAGACAAGCTGAGCCTGCTGTTGCTTCCTAGGGGGACGCTGAGGCCTCTGAAATTTAGGTTTCTTCTCTAGGTGCTCATGAAAGTCTGTTTCACACACTGTTAACCTGACGGTAGGTCTGTTGTTACTTTTAAAACTTCTAGCGGCTGTTCATAGCTGTTTCACTGTGTAACAGCAGGGGTTTATTGATCTGTAAAAATCAGGCGATGTGCTACAAGAGGAAGCTGTACCTCCTGCCCCAGAGAGCCTCTGGGCTCATTCATTCATTCTAAATGGGCGGCAATCAGCAGGGCCCCCCTTGCCAGGGAACTGGTGACCCAGGGCGCAGGCGCCAGGGACCCTCCTCTTGGTCGGGTGTACTCTTTCCCTCAGGAAATACTGAGACATTTTCTTCTAAGTGGTGCTCAGAATCACTTTAAATAGTCATCCAATGCTGTCATCCAGATATGAGCAGCAGCGGCCGGCTCCTCTCTCTGGAAGGCTTACGGAAGGCTTGTCACGCCACACACTGAATTTCTAACGGCATAACCTCAGGGCACAGGAGTTTACACGTGAGCGGGGATCGCGCAACTCCTGGCAGCCCAATGTGTGTGTCTAAAGCAGCAGGCGCTGAGCTGTAAACATCAAAGTCCTTTTCAATTTTGAGAATGGAGACAACGGAGTGCCAGGGCTTTATCAAAGAGACATGTTTCATGTACAGCAATTATAATGAGCTTTGTAAGACATAAGCAGACGATTTAAACATTTATTTAACAGCCTTGAAACGTAAGACTACAGGAGAGAAACCAACACTTGAACATCAAGTGGAAGAAATCGTAACAAAGCTTTCCGTTTCACATTCGTCAGCAGAAGCCCGAGCCAAGACGGACCCGGCAGGAGACTTCGCTCTTCAAGGGAGAGCAACTCATGGCCCTGCTAGCTTAGGGCGTCATGGCACATTCCTGGTGACCCCAGGTACAGACGCGGAAGGGCCCCTTCTGGTACACGAAACGAACCCTAAAGCCAGGAAACCACTGCAGGAGACCTGAATCTAAAAGTGCATTTTGCTGAGGGGGATGAGAAGCACTCAGAAGCGTCGTTTGTGCCCAGATGCCTCACACTCTCACCTTCGGGGTCTTCAGCTTTCAGAAACACTTTTGCATGTATTACTGGACAAGTGGAACGCACGATACAGAGTATTTCAAGGCTGCTACCAAAACCCAAGTTGAAATTCTTCCCGGAGTACAGGTTTTCTTTCCAACCCGCCTTCTTGGGCCTGGCCCCATGCCCGGGCAGACTCCGAGGAGTCTCAGGATGCCCTGATCCTCCAGTTAAAGAGTCACCTGAGCTTCCGGGCCGCGGAGGATGGAAGCTAGAGACACTGGACGGGGCCAGGGCCTTCGAAGCCCTCCAGGGCACAGAGGTGGCGAATTTCAATGATGGCGACAAGGAAAAGCGTGGAGCTCATGCAGGGTGCTTCATGGATTTTTTCCTCTTTTCAAATTCCTTCATTTTCCTAACACTGCCTTCCCCACTGCTTTGGGAGCGAAGTTATCTTTCATCACTGTTCCTTCAATAATTTAATATACAGCCCACAAGAAAAACAACACAGTCAGCCTTTGCATTAAAAACTTGAATGGGATTTAAGCTCTGGTCAGTAAACTCCTTGGGAAGAGCGATGCGACCTCCCCCGTCAGGCTGCAGCGGGTGTGACGCCCTTGCACACGAAGTGTGAAACATCAGTGAACAGCGCTGTGTAAAGGCGCACGCTTTGTTCTGGGGCATCAGTGTTCCGTTCCGTCCACCCTTACGGCGCGTTACTGCACCCCTCCTCCCACCCCTCCTCAACGTCGCCGAGAAGGCAGGCCCAGCGGAAACTGAACCAGAGTCTCCCCCGTGCGCTGCCGCCTCGGCGCACAGAAATCAACCGGGACCCAACCCGCAGTCTGTGACTGACTGCAGGCTGAGCGGAAGTGTAGAAAGAGTTCTTAATTAACAAATAGCTTAAACAAATATTCTGGAAACAAGGCTGAGATCACAGCTCCTCCGAGTCCAGCTGCTCCCGAACGGGAGAAGTACAGGCTGGGCCTGGTGCCCAGCCGCCAGGCTGTCAGCGGCCTGGCTCGGCTCAGCCCAGCTCCTGGCGGAGGTGGAGGCGGGACCGGGACGGAGATGGGGTCAGGGACGGATGCGGGGAACCCAGTCCTCACGTCCCTGCTGTTCATTTTCTTTATACCTGGGAAAAGGCTGCACGTGACAGACGGTATTCACATTTTCAAACAACTCACACATTCAAATAGGGTACAGATTTCAGTATTAAAAATAAGGTTTGTAATAACCACCTGTAAGAACTCATTTATTTTTACCTCGGGGGAGTGCACAGGTGTAGATGTCATTAACTGGCTTAATATTTATTAAAAAGGCCCTCTGTACTCTAACGCGCAAGGCTAAGCCTCGCTTCCGTCACCGAACCCCGTCCCGCAGAGCCCTCACCGCCCGGCCCGGGACGGGGCACAGTTGCGCCGGCGACATCCGGCTGGCATCGTTACATCTTCTCTTCTCAGTCAGAAAACTGAGATAGGAAATCCAGTTCGAAGTGTCGGAAGCAGAGTCTAAATATTAGAAAAATGAGGGAGAAGGCAGCAGGGGCTCCAGAGCGGAGGCAGCTCCCGGTTTTAATCTTCAGGCTCGTATCTGGGGATGAAGATCAGAGTGCGCCATGACACGTCTGTTGTGCGGGTAGCACCGTCAGTACCCAGTGAGTGACCGACCCTGTGCTCCCTCCCCAGCCCTGCTACGGCGGCGGCGACACACGCACGGACCCTCGCGGTGACCGCGGGGGACTCGAGCGGCAGCGTACTCGGCCTGCCTGGACTCGGGCTCGAATCCTGCGTCCAGCTCTGTGACCTCACAGCTCGATCAGCTCCATCCTCGGACCCACGGACAGAGGATGCAACGCGTGGGTACAGGGTGGACAATGGCCCTTCTCTAAGGACGAACCTGACCTTCCAGTCCAGGGATTCTCTTCCTAGCTCTCCTCCCCCAAACTCCATGAAGGCAATGATGCCGAGGGAGTCTCCGGCAACGGCCGAGCTGGCCGAGCACACCTGCCCCGGGAGGACACCGGCACCTGGGGACACCTGGGAGGGGGCCTGGGCAGCCCGGCCGCTGCCGCCTCGCCCCTCCTCTGCTTGGACGCCCAAACTGCCTTGCGCGCACCGGGGCCAGGCCAGGATCGGGCTTCCTCCGACGGAGGCCCTGGATGAAATGACCGGCGGCTACTTGCGGCCCACAGCCCGGCCCCCGGGGCAGCAGACACCGCCCCGCGGGGACGGGAACCCGAGGCCGGTGCTGCTTACTTTGCCAGCCTTCTCCGCAGCTCTTTGATCTGGTCGTTCTTCCTGGTGAGAATCTCCTTCATGTTCCGATAAGCTGCAGTCTGCTGGAATTTCTTCTCCAATTCCTGCTTAGAGAGAAACATCAGCCGGCTCCCAAGCTCAGCTAAGGAAATCAACAGATGTGGGGCAGACGCATACTGTTTGCTCTGAATTTTGCCTACAGTATTTCCGTTTTTGTTTTGTTTTTTGTTTTTTCTGGTACCAGGACTCTAACTCACGACCCTGCGCTTGCCAGGCAGGCGCTGTGCCGCTGAGCTAAACCCCCAGCCCCTGCCTATAGCATTTTCTAACTTCCCTCAAGACATACATAAAATTAGGGCTACCCAAATTGAAAAGCATTATTTCAAATGAGAAGCCAATAAACCAGTCATCTTTCCCCAACTACAGTATTAATACGTGACTCAAGTGGGGTAAGCCCTGGACCTGGGACATCTACCTGAAGTATTAAACTGACTTTCAGGTCAGAGGAGCACCGTGTTCTTCCAAGTCCTAAAGCAGTGTCAGGAGGAGCATTTTAAATTAAATTGTGGCCTCCAGATTCTTTACAGTGTCAGCCCTAAAGTGAACAGTTAAGCTCTCTTTGTACCTCGTGTGAGTTATAACAAAGGTACAGAAATCTTCAACCGTCGCCCACCCTCTGCCTGGGTGCAGAAGGACGTGCGAAGACCGAGGGCGCCCCAGGGGACGGCAGGCGGCCAGCCCTGCCGCTCCGTGCTGAAGACGGCAGCCTCCAGAGCGACAGCGCCTGGGGTGCCGGCCGGCCAGTGCCTTGAGAACCAGAGTCCAGCGGACACGCTGGCCACACGCGTGCCTCCCCACGCACGAGCCCCCGGCGGCCGGGACGCGCACGGCCCTCTGACCTTCTCCGCCAGGCTCAGCTGGTCCTGCACCCGGAGGAGGTCGTGCTTGGCGGTCACGAGCGTCTCCTCCAGGGACTTCTGGTTCTCCGCCCTGCTGCTCAGCGTCTTCTCAAACTCGCTCTTCAAAGCCGCCACCGTGTTCTCCAAGTCGCTCAGCTCCTGCGCCTTTCCTAAGTCCTGTGGGAAGGACGAGAACACAGGACAGAACTGCCTGTCGGCCTGCCGGGTCACTGTCTCAGGACGGCCACCTGGCACCAAGGGACACCCTGCAGCGAAGCCAGGGGACGCGGCCTCCCTCCCACCCTGCGCCGGTCACTGAGTCCCTAGTAGGATGACACGACTGAGGAACCACTGGTGTTCTGGCCTGAGGGGAAGAGGAGAGAGCCGAGATCTTTGTTTGTTTTGTTTTGAGACAGGGTCTCACTGTGTAATCCACTATGATCTGGTCATTCTTCCTGGTGAGAATCTCTTTCATGTTCCTTCAAGGCCAGCTCAAGGCCAGCACAGTGATCCTCCCGCCTCAGCCTCCAGTGCTGCCATGCCGGGCTGGAAGGTGAGACCCTGACGACCACGCTCAGTGTGTCGGAGCTGGCACAGCACAGAGGTTACGGCTCGGAGCCAAACTAAGAAAAACCTTGGGGAAGAGTTTTGAATTCCTCACAATCGCGTAAGAGGACAAAATTAGAACAGTAGTAACATTTACAGATATACATTTAAATCATTATTTATAAGAGAATATTATGAGGATATAATATTGCTTATAAGGGTTCTAAACTTACAAGATTTAAGTTTCCCCCATTAAGGGGCTATGCATATTTTGCATAATTAACCTGCTGCTGGGATCTTCTCTCCAGATCTTGGTTTTCACTGACAAAACTCATGACAGAAACAAGACTTGTATTGCAACACCAAGAGAAGGGCGTACAACTGCTGAATGTGTACACGGAACAGTCTTCTCACAGAAACTCCTGCTCATATTTTTTTTTTTTTTGTGACAGGGTCTCACTATGTCGTTCAGGTTCGTGCCACCATGCCCAGCCCTGCTCATTTTTGAAATTTAGCCTGTAGAAGGACTTATCCCACTGCGGTGAACAAAGGCAGGTGTCCGCTCTGCGCCTGTGCCCCAGACCTGGAAGCAGCTAGTAACGCTCCGACCACGATTACGGTCAGCCTGAAGAACCACGGAGCGCGGCTACTCCCATTCCCCACGCCTTCTCTCCAGCGGACTGTACGCTCTTCCCCTCCAACAACAAACAAGAATTACTGAGCACATCCAATACATTTACTTCTTAAATATGAAATATCTTCATATAGAACAAAATTCAAAAGCAATAAAGGGATCTGAGGAAAGACGACGTTTTCAGAAGGACTTGGTGTTTTAATTTAGGGACATGGTATTAAGCTTTTTAACCTCGCAGCGGTGAATCCGAAAACACGTGTTCACCAGAGGACCCTAGGAAGAGCCGCCCTTGGAGCGCGGCTTATCTGCGCATCGCTCTTTGGCCTCAGAGCCACCTCAGCGCTATCAGATGGGAACAGTGAATCATCCCTAGAGCGTGCTCTGCCATTATCTCCGGACTCCACTGCCCAGGAGGACCGGCTCTCGCCCTGGAGGACAGGACCCGAGGGCGGAGGTCGGGAGAGGTGGCCCTGGGCCTGGCGGGGAGCCCGTGGCGGTGGCAGAGGCCGCGTTCATGACACCTCAGGCCCCAGGTTCGACCCTGATCTCCGTGCAGCAAACAAACAAACCGTTGCCTGGCGACCCGTGTGGAACTTCCTAGATAATCAATTTCTCTAACAGGGCCTCGTTAATTATCCACAAAGCACCTGAGACTCCAGATCATTCAAACAGCGTGTCATCGTTTCACTGGCCCTTCAGGCTCAGTCACAATCAGCCCGGCTGCCCTGACAAGCCGACACGCCGGGACCCGGATCTCAGGAGCGGCCAGCCCACCGCCTCTCGCTGCTCGCTGCAGCAGGGCGGCCCCTCTGGCGGCGGCACCTCTCCTCCTCTGCCCTTTTCTCCCAACTGGAGCTCTCTGCTGGGTAGCTAGTCAGGTGGCGGGTGCCACGTCATGCGTATTGCTGGGAACTCTGAAAGGCGGCCTCGCCTGCGGGTAAAGCAGTGCGGGTGCGCAGCTCTTCCCAGGCGGAAGGAAATGCTCTGGCCACAGTTGCCTGGCAGGAAGCTGTTTTCTAGACGATATCTGCGGTTCGGGGTGTAGCCCAGGCTGGCCTCGAACTCGAGGAGACCCTCCTGCCTCAGCTTCCCCCATGTTGGGATTGCAGACGTGCACCATCGTACCCGGCTTCAGCTCTTTAACTTATTTTTTACATGTATGTTCGTGATGCACTATTATTACACAGACACCACTTCTTGGTCATTTCCCTCCCCGCTTCCTCTAAAAAGTCTGCCTCCCTGTTCCTTTTGCTTTGCCCTCTAATGTTTGCATCCAAACCTCCTAAAGCAAAATGGAAGCAAAGCCTCAAATGGCCTTAAACGAATTCATCACCTGGAAACGTTCCCAACTGTACCTTCAAGAACTTAAGAGCTGTTCTGGAACACTCGGCGCTCTAGCTCATACATCTATGGTTCTTGGCACGTTTCAATTGAAAAATTGTACACATTTCCCTCTCTCTAGTGGCATAAGCAGCACCCTCCCAATCCAACGTGACCCACAGGGGAAACAGTGCGGTGGCTGAGAGCTGATCAGGATGCCGAGGGAGGAGGCTTGCGGGGGTGGATGTGAAGCGGCCGGCCAGGAGCGGGGCACACGGCTCGTGGGACTGGCCTCTCCGCCCGGTGTATGTGTTTGCGTTTCACTGAAAAAGTTTAGCAAAATCTACGGAAGCAGACTTTGGGACCACTGAGCAGATGGTGACAAGGGGGGGGCGCCGCACCGGCCGCCCGGCTCCCGCCCTCCGAGAGGCGTGCAGAGGAACAGCGCCGGCCGACCTCACCGTTACGCGGGGCACCGGGGACAGGGGTTTGATGACCCCAGAGCAGTCAGTTCCTCCGTTTCGTCACTCACTCGGGGCAAACTTCAGCAAGGTTCAACAGAATACAACCAAGGAGCTAAAAGCGGGTCCTTTCCTCATTTTCCCACCCTAGCGTCTCACACACTGCAATAAAATCTCAGACAGCTGTCTGCCCTGGACGCTGGTCCTCCCTCGCCTTCGTGCACAGGGATGTCCAGTGCGGGGGGACAGCGGTACTGGTCCCGGGACTCTGCCGGGGGGTGGGGAACACGGGACAGTGACTAAGACGGAATTCTACACCCACAACTCTATGCTACTGAGACAATGCGAAAAAGTGCAGAGGCTCACCTCTTGCTTTCCCCTGTCCAGCTGCAGGGCCTGCAGCGCCCACTCCAGCTTCGCCTTCTCGTCCAGCGCGTTTGTGGCCTACGAGAAGCACGTGGAGACGGAAGGTGCTCAGCGCCTGCTCAGCGCCTGCTCGGCCGGCGGCTCAGCAATTTCGTTAAAGGTTTTCTTGGTTACCTGCGTCTCAATTGCCTTCAGTCTTGACTTCAATTTCTCATTTTCTTCTTGAAGTCTTAAAATCTCCTTGGTGAGTAAATTCAAGTTACTATTTTAACCAGAATATTTTTAATACTTGAAATTATGACTCGTTTTAATTAAAACTTAAATTAAGTCATAGTTCAAAAACCCACAGGCCTGGGTGGTGGCGACGTCCCAGTTTCGCCCAGCCCACCAGGCCCGACCACCGAGTTGTTTTTTTTTCTCCAGTACCGGGAACTGAACTCACGACCTTGCGCTTGCCAGGCAGGCGCTTTGCCGCTGAGCTAAATCCCTAGCCCTGCTGAGTCGGTTTTGACTCAAGACTTCTAGCCCCTCCTTGCTGGGTCACACACCCGCCCATCCGCCTGCTGGCTGTTCCCGCCCCGCCCCGCCGTGCCATGAGCCCAGCAGCCGCGCTCCTCCGCAGCCCTAACCCGCGGGCCACCCCCACTTCCCTCTCCTTTGCCACGAGGCCCAGTGTACACAGGGCAGGGCTGAAAAATACGGTCAGTGTTTAAGATTTCCTGCAGGAAAAGACACACTTCCACGCATCCCCCCAACATCCTCCCGTTTCCACACACCCGCCCCGCCGTCCTCGTCGCTTCCCGCCGCAGCTCTGCAGTCCTCCTTCCTGAGCGTCTTCAGTTGCGCCGTCACGACTGCGCCAGGGTCCTGAATTGGTTAAAAACATGGACCTTTCCTGGTCATGCTCACTTTGGGGCAGAGCCACGGTCGCACGGCGCCAGATCTGGTGAAGAAGGTGGATGAGGACACAGGGCCGTGATTTTCCAGCTGTCCTGCACTCGGTCACAGCAGTCACTGTCCGTTTGATCCCAGCTGGCAGACGCCCAGGAAGGAGGGCTCCAGGGCGGCCGCGGGAGGCGGGAAGCATGGCGGCATGAGCGTGTCTCAAGTGAGGAGGAGGATTTTGAGGGGGATTCATGTATCGTGTCTCTCACTTAATATTTCACAAAAGCAACATAAACATTCACTGTATTTCCCAGCTGTCCTCGCCAACCTCGGCCCGCCGCTGCCTGCTGACCATACTGCTCCCTGCCAACAGCCGCCTGCCCTTCCCCGGGACCCGTTATCGCCTGACTGGCGTGTCCGGGGGCACCAGCCTCGCCCACGTGGGGCCGGCGGCTCTGCTCTCCGGGCTCGTCCAGAACATCAGCTCTACCACCCAGTGAAACCCGAAGGTTTTGGAGAGCCTGGGCCTGGTGCTACACTGCCTTCGAGCTCCAACGAGACCTGTATGAGCTTAAAAGTCATAAAAGTATTTGTGCACTGGCAGTTTTTACAGACAAAAAACCCCTCATCATCATGGCCCACAGCTTTAACTCTCCACAATGAACACTGCCCCAAATCCCACCGCTGCCCTTCGCTGGACAAGCGGGGTGGAGCCAGTTCCCAGTGTATGGGAAGCAAGCGCGCCCTCTGCTGGTCGCTGGGCACCATGGCGAGTCTCCGGGCCAGACTCAGTACAGGGACCAAGGCCAGGACCAAAGCCAGGTCCAACTCCTCCCGCTGCTTCTGGACCCAGAGCTGTTCAGGCCACAGGGGGACAGAAGCAGAGGTTCCTGCTTCGCAAAGTGATGCGGCCCTTACCTTGTTGAGGAGCTCTGCTGTTCCGCCTTCGTTAAGAGGAACAAGCTTCGGCTTTGTGCTGTCTATGATGGGCTGAAATGAAACGAAGAAACCAAGCTGCAGGCAGCACTGAGCACACGTGACCACCGTGAGGCGGTGCTTGCCAAAGCGGACGGCGCTGCACACAGCGGCCTTGCTCTGTTTGTCCCAGGGCCCCAGGAGTAAAAAATGAATAAAGAGAACAGAACTAGTGTCATCGCCGCACAACAGGCAAGGTGAACGTGGCTCAGCCATCAAGCGACCGGCTGAGGCCGCGCAGCGCGGGCCGGCAGAATCAGGTGTGTGTGCGGCGCAGCCCGTCCGAGCCTGCGCTCTGCCTCTGCTAGGACACAGCAGACGGGGCTGGGATTCCCACTGGACTTCAGGGACTGTGTGTGTGTGTGCGCGCACACACGCGCGTGCATGGGTGCATGTGTGCAGCTGCTAACAGACACGAGTGGGTTTTCACCGTTACTTCCTATTCTTGTCTTCTTTTGCATGAAGCTCTGAGAGACATGTCTGGAATCCCCTCAAATGCTTTTCCTTCAGGATTTTCCCTCCGTCCCTCGAATGCGCCGGCCGTGAAAAGAGGTATGCACTCCATTAGACTGACCCCGGCTTACCTTTTTTCTTGAAGATGTAAATTCTGCTTTTTCAAATTCTGCCACTTGTTCTAGTAATTCCCTTGAAGATGAAAGCAAATGTTAAAAAAACATTTAGAATAGATCTGCATCACAAGAGAGGAATAAAATTATGGCATCCATCTATTGCATGAGACGGCGAGGAGCACAGGCCCTTAAAACTTCACATGGAAATGACAGCAACCTCCCCTCACAGGGACGCTGTGCAGACTGCCAGGCTGGAACGGCAGTGCAGTGCAAATGCAGCGGTGTCTGCCTCTGTGAGGCGCCAGAGACTGCTCCGTGACTGCACAGTGAGCTGAGAAAGATCAGCTGACTTTCAGGGAAGCAGCCGCAGAAAATGCAATCAGTGCACAGAAGCTACGGAACCAAGCTGAGTGTTTCTAGGAAAGACAGATGGTGTGTGTGCAAAGACAAGCAGGAGCTGACTATGCCTGCGCTTACACAGGAAGCTTCTAAATTCAGAAGTTCAAGGGCTCGGCTGGGTGTGGTGCATGCCTGTAATCCCAGCACTCGGAGGCTGAGGCAGGAGGAGCACGGTGAGTGATCCACAGTGAGTTCTAGGCCAGCCTGCACTGCACTGTGAGGCCCTATCTCAAAAAACAAAGACAAAACAACAACAAAAAACCAGAAAACCAGAATAAACACAGTATCAACTTCTCAGAGCCTGTCACAGTCGCTGGCTGCCGGCGCAGTAACTGAGGGAGCCCGCTGTGCCCGAGCGCAGTTTGCTCTGCCGCGCAGATTTCCCTGCGCGTTGTCTCTGAATCGGCTGCAACTTTACCGATTTTACCACGGCTTTTAGTAAGCGCTTCAAGGTTACCGTTATAAACTTTTTAGTATTCTGCTTCCTACATAAGTGTATGACCTAAAAACAATCATTTAACATCGCTTTATAACCCTGCTACTCCGAACATATGGCGGTTATCCTATTTGAATTAATTTTTAACTGTGTGATAATGTTTCTTCCTTCCCTGACCTGTCTCTGAAGGCCTACTGCGACACCGGCCGGGGAAGGGAACAACGGTGCAGAAGGAGCACCGAGAGCCTGGAAGGCCGCCTCCTAACCCCGGGGTGGGGGGAGCGGTCTCCGGCCCCGCACAGCGCAGGCGCCCCGTCACCTGTTCTCCAGCTCCGAGACGTCGGTCCGCAGCTTGAGGTACCACCTCTCGGCCTGCTCGAAGAGCTGGCACAGGAGCAGCACGTTGGTGTGGGCCGTGTTGATGAGCTCGGACTCCACCTCACTGTGCACCAGGGCCTGCAGCCCGCTCAGCATGTCCGCCACCTCGTCCACGGTAAAGGTCTCCTCTGCCAGCCTGCAAGACAGCCGGCCGGGACTTCGAGACCGAGACCGCGACCAACCACGCGCAGGGCGCGGCCAGAGTACAGCACCCGCGTGTGCCACCTACGGGATCGCTATCACGATGACACTCTCCTGGGGAACTGGATTTTCGTTAATAAAACAATGACAACAACTTAAGCTCAATTTATGACATCTATTAAAGTGATTAAGTTGTAGCTAATTTAAGTTGTTCTTTAAATTACATTTAATACAAATACATGCTGAACTATTTCCCAAACTATCATCAATTTAAAAAAATTTCTCAATATTACTTTTTTTTAATTCAATCTCCACTAAAATTAGTTTTGCCGCATTTAATAATCTCAGAGCTCACACGGAAGGTACAGTTTATCTCCTTTTCTTATTGTGGCGCTGGGACTTAACTCAGAGCCCTTCCTCTGGGTTACATCCCCAGCCCGTGTGTGGGCAGGGCCTCAGCAAGTTGCCCAGGCCGGGCTCCAACTTTCCATCCTCCTGCCTCAGCCTCAGGTCCTGGGACTATAGGCCTGTGCCGCCGCCACACCCACGTTTTCCTGTTGTTCTCTAGGATTCTAACTGTAGGAACTAGTCATGCTGGTGACAGCCTCTGAGAAATAAATGATAATTACATACTGCCTCTCTTAGCATTCATTAGACCCCAAAGGTAAGAAAAACATCAAACTTTTACAAAAATCTTTATTAAATTTATTAGTAACTGTCTATATTCTTTAATAGAACATACCTTTCTCGTCATTTAAATTGTAGCTTTTTTCTGCTGGGAACTAGACAAGCAGGTGAGCAGCTCAGTGTAATGAGTTGGACACACAATAAGCTAAGGCCGAGGATCTCTGTTCCTGTGAAGTCCACGGCTTTTTGAAAGCCGTAGTTCACAGACGTATGTGAGGTGTCACTTACGCCTGACCTGACGTTCACCTACCACCCATGGTGGGCTAACAGAACTTACTATCATTTTTTGCCTCAGATCAGCTATCAGTCTGGGATTAGTCAGCAAGTCATTCAGTTTCTTGGTGATCTTCCCTCTCCTAATCTTTCAGGACGAACGGCACAGGTGTTTTCCTGCCAGTTTGCATTTTCTTAAGGTTCTAGCCTTTCAGTGACCAACCCAATTACAGCTGGGGACTCTGTATGATGACTCCAGAAGCCCTGTGCGATTTTCTGACTACCTTCCTGCAGCTCTGCCGCCTCGTAACTACCAACGGGTCTATGTTTGACCTAGAACCCTGTGCAATCTGGTTTCTTGATTTCACATTCCATGAAGCTCGGTGTAGCTGCCCTCAGTGAGTAACCCACATTACTTAAACTTAACCTCATCCCTCCTGATCTGGAGGAGCCAGAGAGGACTGCTGTGGCTTCTGCCCCACGGCCCCACCCCGGGTCCCAGGAAGGACCGTATTTCTCCCATTCCCTTAGAGTCCCCGGATACCTGCTCTCCTTGAGGTCTTGGAAGCAGGAATCCACAGTTTTGAGTCTCAGGCCTCTCTTCGAACGAGCGAAACGCATATAATTAATAACTTCAGTTTGATGGTGTTCATTGAGGCCCAATTCTGCCTGGAAAAGAGAATTTTTTAGTCTTGAGGATTTGATAGAGGAATCAAATACAAAACACACAGGATGTCTTATCACGGGGAGTGCTAGATGTCCCACGAATTCTGCCCTTCCCTTGCCTGGGGATGCCAGGCTGCCCCTGCTAAACGGTGCTTCCACAGCAAGGGACTACTGTCCTTCTCCGGAACGGACGTGAGCAGGAGAAGGTGGGCCGTCTCCAAAGGCTGAGCCTTAAGATACGGGGTTCCCCCTGGCTACAACCCTGTTTCTCTGACCCCCGGCAGAGTAAGAACTGTGTGGAGCCATGCGAACACCATCAGTGCCCCGGGTGGTGGGAGAAGAGGAGATGAAAGGGAGCCAGGTCCCCACCTCATGGGGGCAGCACTGAGCCACGTGGCAAACTGAAAGAACAGCGCTATGGTGCTAAGCGAGGAGTGAAGGTCTGGATTCTCCTTTTAGTGTACCTGCTGCCTATGCAAGCACTCAACTTCTGCATTCTTGAAGCCATTAGTTTCTGGGTCTCTGTTACAGTGACTTAACCTCATCTCATCAAATACAACTTAGAAAAGAGTGAATTCTGTTTGAAAATAGCCATCCGCTGGTATTTATCTTAAACCAGAAGGGTGCTGAACAGATACTTAAGAGGCAAACCTGAGAAGACTGGGATAGCAAGCAAAGGGCAGCTCAAGCGCTATTTAATGTTTGTGCTACTGGTAGTATATGCATCATGTCTTCGTGTACCAGCTTGACAGCCCTAGTGTAACCATCTGCATTTTACTAAAACGCCTCCGTTGTTAAATGGGCAGAAGATGACAGAAGATAGAACTCGGACAGGCACTGCTTTTTGTGACCTCACCATCATCCTTTCGTGAACTCATCCTTGTACTACATTACCGAAACGAGGAGCAGGGCAGTGTCTAAGCTCAAAAAGGGTGTAGGCAACGCTGAGGGTGCAGCTCAGTGGTAAAGCACTTGCTTAGCACGCAGGAGGCCTTGGCTTTAATCAACAGTGTGCAAATACAGGACATTTTTAAGACAATTTTTTGTCTGTAGTCCCTGCTAGTCAGGAGGCGGAGGACAGCTTCAGCTGTGGTCTGAAGCCAGCCTGGGAACACAGCGAGAAGTAGGGAATGGCCTTCTTTCTTTTACAGGTCTGTTCTGTTCAGCGCTGCATTCTCCGCTTTGAGACAGTACTTGGAACGCGGTGAGGACTAAGCAACAATTCTAATGCTGAAGCCCTTCAGGAGCCCATTTTTTGTGTTTTGAAAATAAATTTCACAGATTTTTTTTTTTTTTTTTAACCATGAATCAAACTCATGACCTTGCATTTGCCAGGCAGGCGCTGGGCCGCTGAGCTGTATCCCCGGCCAGGAGCACATTTAAGTGGCTCTCTCACACCTGGTCCCATTTTTTTTTTCTCTTGAAGAGTTGGGCTCCAGGGTCACGCTCTGTTCTATGTGTAACTGCTACTTAAATTGGCACGCTCTATCTGCTGCAGGAATTAACGGTCTTTTTATTACTATGTTTTGGTGCTGGGGATCGACCCCAAGGCCTCCACTATTCGACCCCACGTTCTACCACAGAGCCACCCTCCCAGACCAGTGATCTTTTTGAACAGGTCAAAACGAAGAGATATCACCCAAATTTCCTCCACTGGAAAAGGGGGTGCTTGGATCCTTACATGTTAAAAAATTGAGGGGCTGGGGATTTAGCTCAGCGGCATAGCACCTGCCTGGCAAGCGCGAGGTCGTGAGTTCGATTCCCGATGCCGGAAGAAAAAAACCAAAAAAAAAAAAAAAATTGCGCACAGAAGAAGGGTGGCAGTCTTACCCCTCCTCAGCTCCTCAACCCCTGTCTATTCTGGCAAGGAGGGTGTGAGTGCATGCACGTGTACGTGCGCGCGCGTGCAAACTTGGCGCTTTCACACGACGGTTCAAACTCTTTGATGCGTCCCGGCTGTAATCACCGCCAGCTGCCCGCTGTGACGTGGTCGTGGCGCTTCCGGGCAGCAGCGAGGGACGGAGTGGCGAAGCGGCGCGAGGCTACTACGAGAGGGCGTCCCCAGTACCGGCGGGCCGCTGAGGCCCAGCGCACTGCGGCGCCCGGCGCGGCCTCCTTTCTCAGAGCGCCCAGGGGCGGGGCGCAGGCCCATCGCTCCGGACCCACCGCGCAGCATCTCCAGCCCCGGCCGCTGCCCTCTCCTCGGCGCCAGCGCGGCCGCTACTCACCATGGCGGCAGGCGGGAGTCAGAGGCCTAAAGGAGTAGCGAGGGCAGGCGGGGACGTGCCCGGCCGGAGATCACCAACGGCGGTTGGACCGCAGACCGCTAGCAGGAATGCTGGCTGTTTGGAAGCCTCGGGTTGCTAATGGGAACGGAGGCACGTGGGTCTGCAGTTACGCACTTTGATTGGTCCTCAAGATCACGTGATAGGAAGTGCTGTGCGACGGGCCGACTTCCGCATGCGCATTAGTTACCACAGCAGGAAGTCCCGCCTTTTAGCGCCACGCTCGCTTTGGAAGCCAACTGGGGTTGCCAACGGTAACGGGAGAGGAGGGCATCTGGGACCCCCAACGCACATGCGCTCCCGGAGCGGCGGAGGCTGCGGTGCTGGACGCGGTGGGTCAGCGCTCTTGGTGGCCGAGGGAGCGAGTTCCACACCTCACAGCGTCCTCTCGGCGCGGGGCGGCGCGGACTGCCTTTTCCTTGCAGCTGCAGCTGGGCGTGCCGGTGGCCGAGGCAGGCTGGCCGCGCCAGCGCGTCCACGTTGGCCTTCTTTCGTGTGTTATAATTATTTCCCCTGATATTGCTGGTAAAAACCTTTAACTCAACACTTTTTCCTTTTTAAAAAATTGCAAAAACATCGGTTTGCTCAGAGAGCCACGGATTTCAAAAAATGCGTGCCCGGAAGCGCTAGGGAAGTTTGTTGAATAAATAAGGGCTCCGGCCTCACCTCGGGAAACTGTGGTTCACTACGTCCAGTGTGAGTCCTCCGACTCTGCAAGTTTTGTCACGGTTCCAGGAGGGACAGCAGACTACTTTTTTTCCTTTTCCTTTCCTTTTCTTTTTTATTTTTGAGATGGAGTTTCACCAAGTAGCTCAGCCTGGCCTCGAACTCCCAGACATCCTCCTGCCTCAGCCCCCAGTGCTGGGGTTGCAGGCATGCAGCACCACGCCCCGTGTTAAGACTTCTCCTTAGGGAAACTGTCCTGCAGAAGTCAGAGGTGTCAGCAGGACACAGACGGTTGCAACCTAGAGTGTTGGGGGCTGTCCCTGGCGAGGGCCAGCATCTAGGGCTGAGCTAGCGCAGACTCACCGGAGCCAGACACAGTCAGCAGGGGGCAGTGTGGGAAGCCAGGCGTGAGCTGGGTGCCTGGGGGCTGACAAGCACAGAGACAAATGAGAGCGGAGACATAAAACACAGAGGTTACCTGGCATTAGCCCTGGATCATGGATAGAAAAGCTAATTTTAGGTGTCTTTTGCGTTTGTGTTGATTTCGGGCACTACTACCAAGTGCCATTTAAAATGGATCACAATTGGGTGCTTTTTAGATCTAGAAAGGCTTTTAGGGACCTGGTTCTACCTACCTCTGGGCAAATGCCAGACCTCGGTGCCCTGAGACTGAGGGCCAGGGTCGGGTGTCTTAAGATCTAAGACCTCCGGGCCGGGGCCTGAAGGTGCAGCTGGAGCTTGAGTCGGGGAGGAAGCCCAAACAAACATGTTTTCAACAGCAAAACCAGAAGGCAGGTGTGAACTATTCTGATCCAGCGGGTGTTAAGTCACATTCTGCTTTCAAGAATTTCATTTTTCTTTTCATTGCTTGCCACAGTCATTTTACTAACAACAAACAATGCCAAATTATGTACAGAACTTAACAGGCATCCCAGGAATGGCGCTCAAGACTTTTTGAGATAAACTTGAAACTTTCACCGCCAGGTCAAAGTGGCAGCGGGTAGATTCTTTCGAATAAAGGTCACTGATAAAATGGTATCTTCAAGAGAAGAGGTGCAGCTGTGAAAACACGCTTATTAGCCAAATGGATAATGCAGTAGAGCGGGGGTAATTAAAGTGGAGGATTTCCAACTTAAAGTAGGAGCTAGAAGGTTGTTTTCAGGCGAGGTGAGGTGGTTCAGGATGGCCAGGTGTCTTGCCTGGGATTGGAGGCAGATCTGGAATCCATCCTCGAGACTTCTGCCCAGGGCTTCTTGACCAGTTTGCCCGCCCCGTGGCCAGGTGCCAGGGCTTTCTCCCCCACGCTTCTTGCCCTCCCTCTGGAGGAAAGATAGCGCCTCTGTCTAAGGGCATTTATGGACATCCCAGGCCTGTGGAAAAGGAGGGGGGGGCGTTTTCTATTTCTATTTGTAACACATGAGTCCTTCATCTGGATGGCCGGAGATGAATGCAGCCACAGCAGGACCTCAGACCTCAAAGGTGAGAGCAGCAGCAGCATCAGCAGCAGAAAGGCTTCTCCCACATGGAAGCTGGAGCTCTGGCCTGGAGGCCTTGGCGTGACTGTGTCCAGCTTCACCTTGGCTCCCAGTGGCCCTGGACAGAGTCTCTGTCTCTTTGTAGGTGCACAGGGCAGCCCTGTATACTCACCCTCCAAGCTCAGCTAAGTTCCTTCTGCCTGTGCCGCCACTCGCGTTTCTATCAGCCAGGGCTTGATGACTTGGATCACAAGAGTCACCATGGCTTAGTGCCTCCCGTGCACTGGACACATTGCTTTCTATTCCAGTGGTAAATCCTCAGGGTAGTTGATTCATTCTTACTTCTGTAGACATTGACTGTGTTCATAAAATGACAAGGTCACTTTACTGGAGAGAGGAGGAATTTTATAAAAATGCTCATGACGTGAGTAGGTAAACACGCTTGCCCATCGGTTTGCATTGCTGAAGAAACTTCGGGTTTCCTGCAGGCAAACTCCTGTGCGTGCCGAGTGTTACTAAGGGAGGGGACCCAAAGGGCTGAGTGAATGATGCAAATACACATTTGTGGAAGTGTTCCCGGCTTGGGGAATTTTTGAGGTTGTTCTGCAAAAATGCATCAGCTAATATTTTAATGTAAAGTTCTATTTTAATTTAAAAGCTGCACCCAGGGAGGAGGTTGTAATTTCACGGTTAGTCAGTCCACGCAGCGGAGCTGAAAGTTGTTACACAAGCTGCCTAACTAGTGTCGGCAAATAGGAACCTGTAGTTTCAGTCTTAAAGTGATGAATCTGGCTCGTGAAAAAGCTGAACTTGTACTTCAGGTTGTTTACTAGCTTGGGTTGGTCACCAGAACAAACAGTTCAAGCTGGGAGAGAGGACAGCTCCACCCTGCTTCCGTACTGAGAGTCTTAGACTCCCTGGTTTGTTTGTTTTTTTAAATAATTGTTGTGAGAATTTTGAGAGGAGAGAGAGAACAGGAGAATGAGTTTGGAGGCACACAAAGCCATTTAATATTTTTAGCATAAAGTGAAGCTCAGTTCTCAGTGACAGTGAGAAGGCTACCAGTTTTGGGGTTTGTGCAAGATGGATTTGGCCAAAGGAGGGCTTCTTAGGAATGTTGGCAGATTCTCTTGTTCTGCCACTTTGACAGAGCCCCTGTTGTGTGCAAGGTTCTGTGACCATGACGTGGAATCTTAGGGGAGAAACAGAGGGGCTGAGAGAACCCCGGTGTCCCCACTCCATAGACCTCAGGGTGATGTAGGGGGACCAAGGTGATGCTTCATTTAAGTACAAATAGGAAGCAATAAAGAGAAGGAATTAGTAAAAAAATAGTACAGGTGCTGAAAGGGAAATTAAAATTTTAAATAAAGCCTGCCAAGATTGCCTGCCAAAACCAGACGGATATGTCTGGAAAGGCCTGACAACTGGACATTTCTTCCTTTGTGGAACCCGTGCTTGTCTAACTGATGGCCCAGCAATGTAACTCGAGATGGTTAAACGCCCTTAGCAACCCATGATGTCACCCAGTCTTCCAATCACAATGCACCAAGTCTGTCTTTGTACCTTCCCACTTATCCTCCCTATAAAAGTCCCAAAATCCCCTTGGCGGGGGAGTTTTGACTCTTTGGGAGGGATCCCAGTCAAGCCCATCCAAACCCTCTCTGTGCCGTCTCTTCCCATGTTTGGTCTGTTTTCAGTAACACTGGTACACTGGAGGATCAGAAGGGAAAGTGCACAGTTTGAGAAACACTCTATGGATGGGAGGTGTCACAGGACTAGGGGAAATCATTTTGGGGGCTCACTTTGAAGAAAGAGAATCTTTGGAGTGTGGCTTCTTGCTTGCCATTGTTTCAGAGATCTTGCTAATTTCCTTTGCTTGCCCTGCTGTAATTAAGAAAACAACCAAGACATTAAAGAAGAAAAAGTTCCGGGTTTAAAGGGCCCTAGACAAGTTTTTTGGCTTTGAGAAGCAGTTGGCAAGAGGCTCTTATCAGCTAATCTCCAAACTCTCTAGTGACAGGTAGAGTCTAGGTGGCTGCTGAGAAATAAGATTCATCGAATCACTATCATATGTATTAAAGGAGGTCAGGCCAGGAAGTGGTTCGCCATACAACTCCTTTTAAGATTATGTGGGTGGTGGCGATTAGCCCAAGTCATAGATTAGTGTCACTGATAAATCTCCATACATTAACAACACCCCAAAGGAAACAAACACAACAGCTATCAAAAACTGAAGCCTAACTCAAAAAAATGTCAAGAATCGGTGGTGGGGAATACCTTCCTATGGAGCATGAGAAACATATGTTGATTATGAAGATGATGCCAGGCGCCCAAACCTTATCTTCCACCCCCATCTGGGTGTTCACACTTGAGCTAAACCCAGAAGCTCAGTCCTTCTCTTCACCCACCGAGCATGGAAATCCAGGAGCGTGTAGACACCATGGGACGGAGCAATGGGAAAGATAGGATTCCTGCCTTTCAAAAATGGTGGCGTTTTATCAGGTTAGGGTAAAATGCAAGTTTGCAAAACCACCTCCAAGCAGACAATAAGTAGTAAGAGGACTCAGAGACGGGAATGAATGGTCTCCTCCACTGAGGGCGGAGAGGAGAGCTCAGAAAGTCTCCCAGAAACCAGTGAGGTTCAGGATTGGCCTTGGAGCCGTGCGGAAGAGCTGCCAGTGAGGATGATGACTCTGAGGAGAGGGGGCTGTCCCGCACAAGGAGCCAGAGTCTGCATCGAGTGCCACGGTAAAGGGGCCCAGAGACGCGCGTTTGTTATTCTAGGGGAAAAATTGCAAAAGTAGATAGACTTCGTATTAGTCAGCTTTTCATCACTGGGACCAAAGGCCTGAGAAAACCGACATAAAGGAGGAGAGGCTTACTGCGGCTCACGGCTTCCAGGTTTTGGAGGTTCCAGTCCGTGGTGAGCTGGGTGCAAGGCAGAAACATCACGCGAGGCGCGTGGTAGAGGGGGGCTGCTCACCTCACGGCAGCCAGGCTGTGGAGAGCCAGAGCCAGAGAGGGAAGAGCAGCCCTTCCAGGTGACCCCCAGTGACCTGCGTCCCAAACCAGGCTCCGCCCCTGACAGCACAGTCAGCTCTGAATTTACCAAGGAATTCATGCCCTGGTGAGGTTAGTGCCTGCATGGAGTGGATCAGTAACACCTGAGAATACAGTGAAGGTGAAAGAAAATGTCATTCTTAGCCTGGGATATGTGCCTGACTTCCCCACTACTACAGTCCCTCCAAGGAAAGCACCTTTGTCACATGATCCACCTGAGCCACCAGCGAGGGCTGGGCCGTCCTCATCTCTGCGTGAGGCTTGCAGAACCGAACTGAAGGTGATCAGGAGCATCTTAACCGGCACTGGAGGCTTCTTGCTGCGTCCAGACACCGTCTGTGGGTCGATTGTGGTCCTGGCCCTGCCTTCTCTTGGAAAGTATAACCTAAGCTGTCGAATACATCCAGCTATCCCT